ACAGGGAAACGACTAAACAACAACTTCAACAACAACAAAAACAATAAAACGACACCAAAACTAACACCACCTTAAATTTGACAAATATTCGCAAGACAGAGAGGGGATGGGAAGTTAAGTTAAGTTTATAATTCAAATTATCGGCACATTACTTTTAGTAATCATACCGCCATTCTGTTGTCTTCTGGTGGTTGTTCCAACACACTCTGAACCTCTTTCATTTCATCAGACGGGAGGGGTGGGCGTGGTGGCGGTTGCGCTGTTTCTTGAGGAAGGGGTGGGCGTGGAGGAGGAACTTCTTGCACTGGTGCTTGGGTTACGGCTAAAAATATAACGAGAACGTGAAAGAGCTTATCCATTCAGAAAGTTTGACTGGTCTTTCATGACTAGCACAACTAATATCACTTTCCTTGCTTAGTGCGATTAAAAAGAACCCAACGGAAAAAAATGCCTGTGTTTTTCCTCTTAACTTTAGTTCGTGTGTGTGCGTGGTTTTCTTGTATTTGTTTGTTTGTTTCCATTTTGCCATGACAACGGTACTGCAAGAAAGTGTAAACTCTCACCGATGGTCAATCCTGATATGTCCGGTGGAGGTGGCGGGAAGTCTTCCTCCTCCTCCTCTGGCTGGGAGGATCCGGTTACGATCACTCGCACTCCATGTACAGCATCTTGAAGCTAGTTAAAAGCAACGTTACACTTACAGTTGTTTCATTTTGGTGTCCCAAGCATTCTCAATCATCTACGATATATTTTATATCCTAAGGCCGACGAGAGCTCAGAGACAAGTAAACTGCTTGAAGAGCGGGAAAATGCCGCGAGTGATCTAACTTCGATTGGTCTTAGTTTCAGTTGGCACCTTGTTGATTTAGAATCTACACGATCAATTCTGTCTAAATCACAGCACTGAGAGACCAAAAACAACGTTAACCCAGATTGAGCCTCTTCCTTGTGTTCAGCGGTCCGATAAACGACGCAAGGAAAAACGAACACAGAAATCAAATGTCGGGCATGTCCGGGGGGATCAATTCTGGCTGGCAGAGCGCAAATGTCCCAATTTTCAAGCAAAACATAAAATACAACTTCTGTGTCGCAAAATAAACGACAGAAAAATTGAAGAAGACAGACCGACACAATTAACGCCTCAAACTAAATTTTCCCCCCAACATATCGAAACGCAGTCATACGAAAAGACCACTGTTTCAGGGATATCACCATTTTTGACGAAGAATTTATTTACCTTTCTTGTGGAATCTCTCAATTTTCCCTGCGCTTTCCTGTCTGATGGATTAGTAGCAACAGCTTTTGCGTCAATCACAAGTGGCGTGATACCTGTTAAAAACAAGTTATATTACTGAGTTGTTCTGAAAGAAAAGTCACCCTAAACCGCTATCTCTAACACGTCACCACAAATACATCTAGAAGAATTTCATTTTAAATCCGAATTAATTTTCCCCATCCTGAACAATCCACGTTTTGTTGCATTTTTTGATCGTTTCTAACCTCTGTGGCGTTTCTCTTTCAAAACAAACCGGTATCTTGTGTTTCACACTTCTTTAATATCAGTTTTCATAACTCTCAGACCCCTAAGAGTGACCAGTATCTAATTTCTCCTCACCATATCACCCCTGAATCACACCTTAAGGTCATGAGAAAAAAGGAATGATCATCAATCCATGGAAAAGTGTATGGAGAATATGGATTCTGATGTTAGAATGTAAACAGTTACACAGCAAGGTGAGTGCATGGAACACTTCGGTCTCACATTGTCCCAAATTATCCTTTGCTGCGGCCATCTTTGCAGCATAATCAGGGTCTAATGAATTTTCCATCTCTGCCTCTGCAACATCCACAACCCGCTTGGCTCGCCGGGCGATGTTGGAGCTCTTCGAGATCACCAACTATTGACAAACGAACACGAAATGTCTGAGTCAATAAGTCCGTTGACTTAGCCGCGCGCTAAGCCGCACGGGGGAATAAATACTCGGGGAGAATAAATACTCCCTCAACAAATTGTCGCTCGCATGCGATTGGTCTAAACGCATCGAATGACCTGTTATATACCCTAATTAGGGTAGTATTTATCAACTATTTACCGACACTGAGGTGAATAATTGTTGTAGTACATACCACATCATACCCCCAAATTATTTTTTTTCTGTCAATGGTGTATACCCATCGGTGATACTCCCAAGGTGATATTCCTCAATTTAAAAACGCGAGGGGTACTAAGATGAAAGGCCACGAACATTTAGTAGTTGATATAATATAAGAGATAATTTGTTTTTTGATGGAGCTGTACTAGAAAAAATATAAAAACATTAACACGTCATGCAACAGGCGCCTACGAAGGTAAAGTGTAGCAAATGTTTGGTCCCACGCTGTTAGAAAAAAAATTTTTGGATAATAAACAAGACAGTCTCCAATTGGGGCAAAAATACGCTCGTAGTTTTTTCCTTGCGCCTTATCCGTTTCTAAAAGCTCTCGTAAAACTGATATAAAACTGCACACGAGCATAACATTTTCGTACCTGAGGATTTCCCTGTTCCATTGCCGCACTGCACATCTCAGCATCTCGATTGATCGCCTCCTCTGAAAATGATCCATAGGTATATTTCTCTCAGACATTGTTAAAATACATTGAGCGCCCAAAATAATAAGCAATGCTAAGAAGACATTAACCATTTCAAACTAGTTCATGGTTTTTCTATTGTTTCTGTTGCTGCAATTGTGCTGTCCACTTAATGTTATGACAATTGAGGGGCACTCAATTTGCCAAAAGTTTTGAAAAGTTTTTATCCTTTAAGACCAGCCAAACACTTTCGAAAAACATACCACAGGCTTCAATAAATTTGGAGGTGTCTGTTGCACTGTCAACCAGATTAGTTAGGGTCTGCATCTTCTCTTTCCAGATGTCCCGCACATTTTCAAAATGGACTGAGACGGCAGGCACATCTCCAGGTGAATATTTCCCATAATCCAACAGGATCTTAGCCACGTGGGAAACTTGAGGGGTCCATTCTTTTAGCTGAAAAAAAAAAAGATGAACTAAGTTGCTTGTTGAAGACACAGCAAAATCTAGCTGCATTAAACAACATAGGTTAAAATAAGTTTTTCCAATCTCGAGGGATCAGGTGCAGGGATTATGCTGAAACAAGATTTTTGCCTCACACTTTAATGTGATATTTTTACACCTCCCAACTCAAATAACCTTGGCTTCACCTTAGATAACATTGAGGGTCTCAGGGAAACAAAATTCATTATTATGCAAAGAGCTTGTCATTAAAAGATTATCTTTCCATAAACCTTTGACCCTAAGAAGCACTAGCATCTACTTCTTGTTACAATATCATCCCTGAATTAAACATTAAGGTTACAAGAATATGGGAAATGATCACCAACCAAAGAAGCTCTTGATTGTTACACAAATAATACATGTATATCAAAACCGACAGCTGAAATTCCCATTCAACGAGGACGGAGTGAAGTACAAACACTTTGTAAGTTTGTCAATCATTATTAATTCCTATGATTTGATTTAACATATTTCCATTCATTCTGAGAATTTCAAACTCACTTCTTCTGCATTTTGCCTTATCTGATCCAATAATCTCCTGTTGGTGTTTCCTCCAGCATTTGCCAGTTGAATTGCTGTGTTGGCGATCTGATTTGCTTGATGTTCAAAGGCACCTGCCTTGTTCTCAAACTCAGCCTCGCGCCCTGGTTCATCTGAAACCACCAATGAATAAAAAGAATTTGCAATTGTACATTTTGACAAAATCAACTTAACTCTCTTTTGTCATCAAAACCAATCAAATGACTTTTGTTAGCTAGATAATGGGTCATGTATGCATGCACACTGATGGAATTTGGTCAAAATATTGACATGAAATTGAGGCATTATAACAGAGTGAACTCTCTAACCCCTAGAAGTGATGAATCAAATTCCCCCTTGCACTTTCACCCATAAATCAAATACTAGGGTCTCAAAAATGAAGGAAATGATCCCTAACTGAAGAAACTCTTGATTATTAAACCAATTCTCCTGGTCAGCACCTCAGGAAAGGTATAGAGAACAGTATGGAGAATATACAAATTGATGTTAGGACCTAAAGGGTTAAAAGAGGAAATCACACAAGTATATTCAAATAGAATTTTACCCGGTGGAGCTCTTGCCGCTTTCTCTAACTGCTTCAAATTTGTTGTAGTGTCCATGAAGTCCTCAGCAACTTGTGCTGTGATTGCATTTTGTAATTTATCGTTCAATTCCTCCAGCTTCCTTTCAATCTTTTGAGCAGTAGCAGCTGCTTGAGGTGAATTTCCCTGTCAGAAATAGTAAATTATAAAATTCTAATTTGGCCAAGAGATAGAAAGGTGAAATAATACAAGTTATAAGTTAAGTCCAGTCTCAACAACAATACAGTCAAATCTGAATTAAGCAGCACCCTACTAAGTGGCCATCCCTTATAAAGAGGTCCATTTTCAAAGTCCAGAAATTTTTTACCCCTTAATTACAGTGACTGTTATTTTCATCTATATTAAGCAGTTGCAGTCACCCTTTACTTAGTCCCAATGACCTTGTATCATCCTCCATCTGTATTGAACAATCAATTAAATTGGATCCACTCAAATAATATGAAGAATAATCTTTCAAGTAAGATTTAATCAATTTTTATCAACCAAAATCAATGTTAATGGTATTTTTGACCAAGTCTTTGTACATTAAGAAGTCAATTATGACATAAAATGACAATTTTCATTGTTTCTTAAAATAACCCTATTCTGTGGAAACTGTATTAAACAGTCAACCTGTATTAAGTGGTCACCTTGCCATTCCTCATGGGTGACCACTTAATACAGGTTTGACTGTTTTTTCTGAAATAATGCAAATTAATGTTCCCTTGTATGGAAAAATATACTCCCTCATCTGAGTGTTTAAATTAGTTAGACAATAGAGTGATGCAATCCTTCTGTTTGTCATTAACCAAAGCTGTCCTATAGACAGTAATGGCAAAAAAGGTTGCTTTGTCTAATTTATGTTACTTAAAAAAAAAAGAAAGGATACAAAATTTACCATACAAAATGCTAGGCCAATATTGGCAATTCATCTGTGGGCTTCCTGTTCATGTTCATGTTCTCTGCAGATATCACACCTGCATGCAATCAATGCAAACAAATAGACCCTACAACCAAACAACCTACCATGCCTCTTCTCTTCAGATTAGCAAGCTCATCTGTAAGTTGATCTAGTTCATCACAAAGCTTTAGAATTGCACTTCTCTCTGGACCAGAACATTTGTCTGCTGTAGCACGACCCTGGTCGATGCACTCACGAATGGCTCGTTCACCTACCAAAGTGTTAATGACATCACATCACATGTTCTATTAATTCAAAGTTATACAGTCTTCAAACACAAATTGTTTGCAAAAGGAATGCTTGAATGCTATGTACTCCATGATAGGGTTCAATAAAGATATCTGGTAAACCAGGTTCTTATGAGTATTCTAAGTTCCTTGTCCAGAAAAAGAGGCACAAGTCACCCACCTAACCCTGCAGGATCTGATGACGGGGTGTTCACCCACTGGTGAACCTGATCCATTTTGCCAACAAAAGTGTTGGCTGGCCTGCGCACACCAGACGATTCTTGGCCTAACATGGCATTCTGCATTTCTTGATTTAAATCCTCTAATTGCTGGGCAACTTCTCTGTTAAGTTTCAAGCCTTCTGGGGCTGTTCCCTTTAAAATGCATTTAAGAGAAAGTAAATTTAAGTCATCATTACCATGTGTTCCTGAGGGATGAGGTAGTTAGCATGCTAAACTTTGTTGTACTTTGGATCCCTAACCTAATGAGGTAATTGAATTGTTTTTTTGGGCACGATAATTTACTCTCGGTATTAGGGGGTAGTGGCAAACTGTCAGGGAAAGCTCACCAAAATGTGTGGGAGGTAACCTGTTATGGACTGGCTTCCCACTCAAGGGGAGGGAGAGAGTCAGCTATAAAACTGCTGATGACTACACTTAATCCATTTATTTTATCTTATTTACCACTATTCATTTTATTGTTTCTTACTGATTAGTCATCACGAATGCTGCAACTGTCTTACAATCACCAATATATTAAATATAAACATTAATGTATTTACTTTTCCTAGCCTTCTCATCTCTGCCAAATCTCCCATTAACCGATCCAGATCATCACAGACTTTCCTTATTCTGCCTTTATCGGGACCCTGACTGGCATCTGCAAATTTACGACCTTGAGTGATGCATTCTTTGACAGCCTTCTCACCTGCACAAGAACAGAGTTAAGAAGAAGGATAATCAATGATCACAAACTTTTACAAAATATTAATTATGTTCTGATACCAAAACAACTCGCCCTCTGAAATACAAACTAGATACAGTCCAGTGCCACATTACAATTCCCATCAGGAACTCACCAACTCACCTAACCCTCCAGCTGACTCAGTGGGCGTGTTCACCCACTTCAGGGCCGGGCCCATGTTACTGTCGAAGAGAGACATGGCCTTCTTCATGTCATTAAGGGGGTCATCGCCACCTTCCTCTTCATATGTTGTGTATTGCAGCACTCTTATTATCTCACTGATCTCAAAAGACATCTTGCCAACAACATAATTTCTGTATTCCTGGGCTTCAGGAATGTTCTGACCACCTACAAAGGAAGAATTATTAATAAATGTTATTATTTTTCCTAAAGTGGCTATGGTACCTTTACAGAGAAGGTACTGCTAGGTCTTTTTTTTTTGTTTTTTCTTGACAATATTTTTGCAATTAATCAACAAATAAATTAACATATTATTTTGAATGTATGGGAGCTGTATAACAATCTTTACCTCTTTGCACAGTCAGCACAAAAGTCTTAATTGCAGTGATCAATTGGGTAGACATGGCTTTGACAGTATTCAGTGACTTCCTTAACATGTCAGCATGAACTTGGTGAGTCAGCTCCTCAATGCGACCTTCAACCTTTTTCGCCATTTCTGTGATTCCAGGTGTCAGGTTTTTAACAAATGTTACTAGTTCTTCCATACTCTCCACAACCTCAGACACAGCAAGATATTCCAATACTCCCTTGCACACCTTCAAAATCTTACGCACTTCAGCTTCATCAAATGTCAGAAGTAATGCAGACGTGCCTGAAAGAATTCCTGACATAACAAAAAATAAGGGAAAAATTAAAAGTTTCAATGAAAGTCAATCAGGAGTAATTTTAAATATTTCTATCCTAAGTGCATCAGCTCCTGGATGTGGTGATGAAATCCACTTTTAATTTTTTCTGTGTCAGTAACTTTTTTGTGCATTAATTTTTAGGACAGGATTTTTCAGGGCTGATTGTTCCTGGTGCAATTGATATTGGAGAACTATCCTGCAAGTGTAAGACCCTGAGAGGAACACTAAATCCCCAACAGGCTTAGTTACAACAACTCATTTTAAAACTCAACAACAAAGATTTGGATTTTTTTATTGCAAAACATGAACCTAAGTTAAACTTGAGGCGTAATCAATTGACTATGATTGTGATTAGATTTCAAGAGAAAATGTGGTGCGAATTGTTTTTACAAACCATCTTTGTGTGGTTAAGCATTGAATAAAAAGTTAATTAAAAATTTTATAAATTTAAGTCATTCCCTGTTATAGTACTTGATCAAATTAAACTGTCTATTTGTTACATTTAGTGTCAGAATGGTAAAATGAATGCTTCCCATGATCAGTATAATTAAATATTTGGTTAAAAGCTAAAATTTTATCATAAGTACCTCTGGCACCATCAATTAACTTTTTACGAGCCTCTGGTGAGAAAGGATCTCTTCTAAGAATCTGGGAGGCTTCCACAAGAAAAATAGAGGATTCCTCAACTCTTTTAAAAGCAAGAGGCATTTCTTGTTTGAGGATTTGATCCTTACTGGAAGATGCAGTTTCTCTGCCAACCTAATGAGGGTAAATTAAGTCAAGATAGATCAAAATAAGATAAGTACTTTACCCCTTTAATTCTTAATTCCATACTGGCTTCTGTACATTTCTTATAATTTGAGTTCTGAAAATTCGGTGTATAAACAAAAAGTATCCCTTAGTTGAATATATTTTCAGACCTACTAAAAAGACAAAAAATTTATCTTTCATCATTTCTTGGAGTCAAAGAGTAAAAGTGTTGACAGTGGTCTGGGAAAGTTAACCCTTTCACTCCCAAGATCTCATTAGTAATTTTCCTTACTTCTGAGAATTTAGTGTTGGATTAGCTAAAAATCCCTTAATGGATACTTTTCTTTATTCTCATCAGTTTTCTGCTGGATATTGTATTGATATTGTAAAGAGAAATTGTCTTAGTCATTCATGGGAGTTAAAGGGTTAAAGGTGCTTCCCTCTCTACCAATCAAATGTAAATGATATTGTTAGTACTATCTTTTTAACAAAAAAAGGTACAAATAAAAAGGTACTAACCTTGACAAGATTTTCAACAGCAGCTCCCACTGTTCTAACTGGCAAAGCCAGGTCAGGCATTGCTTTGCCATCTTCAGCTTCTTCATGAAGAATGATCAGAGTGGAGACCTAATGAATTCATTCCGTACATGAATACACTTCTTTTTCAAATCTACATTTCACAACAGAACTTGCTTATGATACATCACTTAACTTTAGGAAAAGTACTCTTGCGCAGCATTGTTTATTTTACCATTTTAATACTGAACATTGTTACAAATTTACTCATATTAATCACACCACTTACACTGCTTGCACATTACTTGAAATATCTGGGTTTTTAATGAAAGCCTGTTACTGGCAGTCTAGTACCATCTGAAAGACCTCTGACCACAGCCTGTTCAACCTGCAAGCAGGCTGTTGTTTTTGGGGTTTTGTCTTACAGCACAGCCGTCCGCCATCTGCTGCTACTTATAGAAAAAGTTATTGAAACCCTTGATTTCAGTATAAGACTACATGCAAAAACAGCAACATCATAAGTGGTTTGATCTGAAATTTAAAACAAATTTACCAGGAGAATTTTATAAAAACAGAAATTAACAAATATGATAAAGGAAAGAATGATGATGGTTTTTACTTACACATCTACAGATTAAGAAAATCGGTACGTAAATAAAACCATTACCATGGCTGTGGTCAGGCAGCGCCCGGTGCTTATGGGCGACTTAGAATTTTAGTTCTTTCAAAAAAAGCATATGCTGGGCACCCTGGATTTCACAGTTTTAGAGCTCTGGGCTCCCTTTAATTTTTCTTAGAGCACAACCTTGATTACAAATATATTTAGGGAAATAGAGTCAGAGGGAAAATTCGTTGCATGAGCAAAAGATGTTATCTTAAGAAAACGCACTGTTCTAAACTGATGCTTTCTTTTGATATGGTTTCGGGGAGCTGACCTTCACCTTGTCATACTAAAATTTATCTGCAATTCTTGTCTGAAACTTGTAAATAAAACCATTAAGCATAATGTTATCAGTCAAATTTTGCAGTAAAACCAATAGTTAAAAGACTCCCACAAAAACGATCCGCACACTTCAAGTGATTGATTGAGAGTACGCAGGTTGTACGACATTTTTGAAGAGTAACTGAATCAAGCGCATAGCTTAATAAGTCTTAAAGTTCAATTAGCTAATTAAATAGCGGTCAAATATGGCAAACTGAAATTCAGGGAGAATATAGTGAACATCACGTTAACAAAAGTATGATTTAGTAATTATTTCTGATAAAGTTCGGTGATCTTTGACAATTCTAAGCCGGATCTAATTTGAATACATTGACGCTTCACTGGGGAAAAACCCGATCGAAACTCGATGGTTCCATTTATATTACAAAATTGTTTACTTTGAGTAACAAAAGACTCCAGATGACGAAAAATATAAACTGTACACTAAATCTACGAAAAGACTGTTACTAAGATTTATCAAAAACGCATTTCCTTCTAACTCCAGCTCAATAAAAGAGACAAGATAAACTACGCTTCTCACGATCCGTTATTGTACAGTCACACCGGCAAGACATACACTCTAATCTGCGCAATCTCTTGAATCGAGAAGCTGTGTATACAATATTTCTGCACGAAAATTGAACACAAGATCCCCCATATCAAATCATTTGATGAAACGTTCTGCGTGATAACTTTAAAGATGACAAAACATTTCGTTTCACATGGCATACAACAAACAGCTTTGTTAACCCAAGGGCAAAATACAAACACGCGCAAAAATATCTGTCTACAACAGTGCACAAGTTATTTACCCTACCTGTTGAGCGACAGGCTCCAATATTGACTCGATGGTTTTAGTGTGGAACACGGGCATTTTTAGCGCTAAAGGGCTGATTTCGACTTCGTTGCCTACTGAAACAAAATAAAAGGGAAATTCTTGTGCATTCGGGAAGTGTACACACCTTTCCGCACCCAGCCCCGTCGAAAAATGTCCAAGTTGCGCAAAATGACGCCCGTGTTATTCCCAGGGGTCCGTACAGCGGAGATTACCTCCACTCGCCCCAGACTTTAAGAAAATAACGCGCAGAGACAAAAGAACAAACATGGCGGACGAGGACGTTGAGATGGACAATTTTTCGGAAGACAGAGCTGAATCGGCGAGTGATTTCGCTGGAGATGATGAAAATGAAAAGGTAGCTGGGCCATTTTAGCATCCTTCCAAGAAAATGTGTCTCTCGGGAGAGTTACTCTTCAAATGATGACATGTGATTTGATCTTATTTAGTTTTGCTGAATATCAATTGTACTTTGACAGATCGAGTAACGGACCAGTAGAGTGGATACATGTAATCAACATTCTAAGAAAAGAAAGGATTTTTAATTAGTAAAGTGGCGTTTAATTTTCTCGATAGTTCATTGTATGGAACAGTTTGACCACTTTATGGTGCGTTGAAAATATGCAAGCGGTGCAGTGGTATCATTCACGTACTATAGCTATGGAAATAAATATATACTGAAAAATAGATTTTCCAAACGGTTAATGGTGTCAGCTGTAATATAAATTTCATCAGTGTTAAGAACCTTGGTAAATTATATTGTTTTCGGAGAAAACTTCAAATGTACTAATGTTCTGTATCCATCAAAATAGATATAGATGGCTACACTGTCTACCTTACCTTTCCAATCAGCTGCAATTATCTCAAAATGATAGCCCATGGTGATATCAACCAATGCTATGATGTGGAATGTTCTTTTTGACATATTTGATAGATGGATGCATATGACACACTGGAGAGTGAGCCAGAGATACGAGTGGACAGGAGCCTCACTGACAGTGATCTTATGATAGCCTTAGCTCAAGTGTCTGAGAACAAACACATGATGCCTGGAAATGGACATATTAAACGTGATCTTAACGCGAGTTTGAGCAGCAGCATTAGCAGCCTTGGTAGTAGTCTTAACAGCAGTGGATTACTCCTCAGTAAAGGCAAGGAAAGCACAGGTTCAGTGCCTAGGAAATCTGCTAGAGGAAAGCGTAAATTGGACAGTAGTCAACAATTATCCTCATCTAAAAAAACAAAGAGGTGACCATTTTGTTATCATATTAATTCTACCTGTTATAGGCAATTTGTTTGTAAACAGTAATGTTATATTACTGGCAGCTTTGACAAAGTGCAAAGGAAAGATGAGTGAGGGAAAAGAAAAAAATACCAATATAGCAGTATTAGGCCACCATGTACTGGCTAATACAAATTTGATAGCATTAAAAAATAATGATACTTTTAAGAACCAAGAGAAGAACCATTCATTCTCTTTGTTCTTGTGAGTGAAGCTCAAAGCTGCACCTGTAACAGAAACTACACGTATACTCATACTTTAATAATGTATTATTAAACTTTTAATTTATTTGTTTCTTCTTTGTTTCTCTAGCGATATACCTCCTTCCCAGAAACTGCCACCCCATGGCTACCCATTAGAGCATCCTTTTAATAAGGTTAGTATTGGTTTGTACCAATTTAGAAAACCCCTAAGTGAGATACTTAACTGCCCAAGGACTGAAATATTGTACTGCCCAAAAGAACTGACACAACAATGGGAACAATCACAAAGTAAAGAACTAAAAGCCCATCCCATCCCTTGTTTACTCTCTGGAATTTTTCTTTAAGGATGTAAGGAATTTAACTCTAGCAGTGCTATTTGAAAGTTCAGATTTTTTATCTGTGGAAACTTTTCTTAGAGTTTGAAAAATCAACAGAATTTAAAAATTGAAATATATAAAATCAAATACTTTTTTTTTTACAGGATGGATACAGATATATTTTGGCAGAACAAGATCCAAATGCCCCTCTAGCAAATATGGACATGGAATTCTGGGCTGGGAAACCCATTCCTGGAGATCTTTACAGAATTAAATTACACAAGGAAGTTCTTCTATCTATGAATGATAGAGGTTTGTAGATTGTAACATGAAAAGTTTTTAAGTTTAACCCTTTCAGTCCAAAGAAAGACTAGCATCTATACATCATCACTACTGAATCAAACAATAAGGTCATGAAAATGACCACCACCAACCTAGGAAGCTCTTGATTATTAACCCTTTAACTCCCAGATCAAATTTGTCATTCTCCTTACTGTCAGCTATACAATTCTTATAATGTTAGTTCAGAGAATTCATTATTGGATCAACTAATTATTCCCAAATTGATATTTTTATTCATTCTCATCACTAATCTGGTTGATATTGAGGTGATATTGTAAGGAGAAATTCTGTCTTGGTCACTCGTGGGAGTTAAAGGGTTAAACAAATTCTCCTTCTCAATACTAAAGGAAAGTCACGTTGTCTCTTTTTCAATACCATCTAAATGTCTAGAGAACATTATGGAGAATATGCATATTGACCTTTGGTGTAAAGGGTTCAGAGTGGATCAGTTGATTTAAAATTTTGTAAATTGTAAGGGAAATGCACCTTCTCACTCTTATGACAAAGCAAATAATTTCTTTTAAACTTTTTTGTTATTTTAGCTCCTCAACTCAAGTTATCTGATGATAGACTATCAGTGACAGGAGAAAAAGGCTACTGCATGTTACGTGCCACTCATGGTAAGCCACTGTAATGTAAAGCAAAAAGTGCTCCCTTTTACATGTTATTTAAAAGAGCTTTAGAAATTCAGAAACCTAAAGGACTTTGTATACCCTTGTGTGAGAGGCATGCCAGTTTCTTTCCTTTAATATCATTGGTCAGATAAATTTGTTGCAGTGACTCTGGTAATAATTGTAAGACTGTTAAAGTTACCAAAAGGATGTGCAGTTTTAAATCACATGTCAAAAATTGCTGTGACAATTTTGTAGGTGTCTCCAAGGGAAACTGGTACTTTGAGGTAAGGAAAATCAAAAATTATTGTCCATATATTTACGACAGAGTTACATGGCGAATTCACTATTACAGTACATACATGTTGTGTTTGTGATTCATAATAAAAGACATTAACAGAAATCAAATACAGTTGCAATAAAATTTTTAGTTTTATACCATTTGATTGCAGTTAAAGTCGACTGAAATGTTTCCTTATTGAGACATCTTATGGAATAAAGTGTCATTGTTGTATGTTCCAGGCTACTGTAGACATACCTCCAGATACAGCCACAAGAATTGGCTGGTCACAGCTTTATGGTGAGAAAGTGATCTATTTATGTACAGTTGAACCTCTGGCTACTAATGGCCACCTCTAAAATAGTCATTTTGTGATGTCCTGACTGATGGTCTGTGCATTCTTTCTTATTTTCACCTCACTATGAAGGCAAAGTGCATTTTATCTGCCAAAAGAACTTCTTGGTAACAACTTGTTAATCACACACTTACCAATTGAAAGAAATTACAAAATACTTGAAAGTTAAACAACCTTAGACAGTTTGAAATGTCTGGAGTACTGAATCAATATAGCGATAATAAATAAAACCAGATGTGACATTTCACCCTATTGTCTTACAATGACACTCTTCTGTCATGGCCACTTTTCTCTGCGTCAAAGGACAGGTGGCTGTCATGGAGTTCTTTGACTTGATGAAGTCTAGATTGACAGAGGAAATCTTAGTCTGCTCTTTTTGTCTTGGGTAGGAAATCTACAAGCTCCTTTAGGTTATGATAAATTTAGTTATTCTTGGAGAAGTAAAAAGGGTACAAGATTTCATGAGAGTAGAGGGAAACACTACAGGTATGTTATAAACAATCCAAATTTTTCTTTGATGTCCTGTAATTGTAACTAATTTGTAAATTAATCTGGTGAAGGTAAGTTCTACATTTGAGCAAAGTGGCCCCTCCAGCCAAAGTTTATTAGGCTTCCTATTGTATGAAGTGATTGAGAGTATTGGTACTCATCATGGGATTGGATGCCAGTCCATTAAGGTTACCTGAGTGTTGCATTTTTTCAAGCATCCCTGTACGTTTGCCAATAGCTGTTTTATACTCCTAGCTCCAGTTGTTCAAGGGGTGGATAATGCTATCTACTGGATAAATATCTATCCAGTGGATAGTGCAGTAGGTTTTGTTAACACTAATCCACTGGATAGCAATTTATCCGTCAGAAAGAAGTATCCATCTTTTGAACAACTGGGCTTTGGAAAGCGGTACTTTGAGAGTGAAGTGTCTGCTACAAAATTACAACACTAAGATTTGACCAGGGCTAGAACCCAGACTTCCCAAGGCAGAGTCCAGCCTGCTGACTAACCTCTTGACTACCACATCTTACACACACTAATCTGAGCATGCATTATAAATGTGTCTAATTTTAGTAAAGGAAGGATAAATGTTTTTCTTTATTTGTAGTAGTGATGGATATTCAACTGGTGATGTAATAGGGTTTTTTATCAGTCTACCACAAAATGACAGACATCCAGGTAAAATGCATGTTCTGTTTGTTAGGTTTATTTTTAAATAATATCTTTCATTCACTTTTTGTGTCACAGCGGCCAATCCTAATAGAGATTTCCTTGACAAGCAGTCAATGAGGTCAAATAAAACAACAAAACTACTTGATTCATTTCGGAGTAACCAATTAACAGAGTCCATGCTGCCATGTATCTGTTCAGTAATAGATCACTGATGTTGTCAAAATGTAATAAGTCAGAACAAGACACAGCTGAGTGTGTCACTGATGTCTACAATAAACCATGTACCAAAAGTCCAGACAAACTGCTTATTTTATGATGGCTTTATTTTTGTCTGAGAAGTTTTAGGGAAAGAAACAATGAAAATTTAGAAAACAATTATGAGGTAATTATTTAGTACTGTTACAAGATTATGTTTTCTTTTTCAGCGGGATTTCTTCCTGCAACGTATAAAGATAAGGTATGTGTCAAAAAAATGAAATTATACTCTTTATTTTCTTTCTTTCTTTCTTTTTTAAAAATCACTGTTATGGTTTATTTCTCTCTCTAAGGCATTAATAAAGTTCAAAAGTCATCTTTACTTTGAAGAAAAAGATCACGTGGACAAGGCGGAAAAGGTGTGAATTACAAAACATATCAGCTGATATGACTCGATACAAACTCACAGCCAGGGGAGGGGTGACCACCTCCCCAGGTGACTGTCTTCCAATTTAGGTTTAGCAATTTTTTTTGTCAGCTTACTTCTCAACTTTACTAGTATTTTGTATTTTCTGAAGTAGGATATTTGTTTAATTTATGTTGTTAACAAATTGACAAGATCAATTCCATGAAATATGAAGTATTTAAGGAGCAAAAAAATAAAACTCAAAAGAAGAAAAAAACTGTGAAAGGATGCTTTGTGAAAAAGTACACAAGGCTAATGTACACAAACAAAACAATAAGGAACATATTTTGATAATAGTCTGTTCTTTTGCAGAACCTAAAACCTGTGCCAGGAAGTCAGGTATGTTTCCAAGCAATCAGCTTCAGGAACTCGTCAACACACAAATGAATAAGATAATTTGGTTATATCAACCAAGTTGATTATGTAAATTGGCCACCGTAAAGAGTTTCTAAGCTTGAAAACCCTTAGCCTAGAGCAGGTAGAAACTCTTTTCAGCTTAGAAACTAGTTACAGTGGCCAATTTACATTATCAGCTCAGTTGATAAAACCAAATTATCTTGTTATATTCCCTCACTGACACAGCAGCACATTTTCTTTATAAATTTATCCCCTTTGCACAAACGAGTACATGAATTTCTTGCAGCCAGTTTGAACCTCACAAAATGACTTTCAGTGTCTGATGATGTATGTCTCCTTTTTTTAAGGTAAAATTCTACAAAAACGGTGTTTGTCAGGTGAGTTTAGTTGAAAGAAGTACATGTATGTAAACTTATTGGTTTTGTTTGTCCTTTCTTGTGGAAACAGTTTCATTGCTCGTAGAGCGCATTTCGCCGGCTGAGTATCAGAAAACCAAAACCAAAGCAATCATGACAGCCAATAAGAAAAAAGGCAAATATCACAAGGAGCCAATTAGAACTCAATGTAAAAAAAAAAAGCGCGGGAAAATCCTAGTGACCAAATTGCGATCTGGGTTAGCTCTGCAACTGATTGGCTGTGAGGACGGCGCAAGTTTTCTAGACCAGTCGACGGATCAGTTGAAGAAAACCAGAACCAAATGGTCTACCTGACCCCTCTTACCTAAATACTTTATATGTGAAACAGTTTTCTTTCTCTTTGCATTAAGGGAGTGGCGTGGCAGGAGATCTATGACGGAACCTATTATCCGGCTGTATCGCTGTATAAGAATGCTACGGTACATTCATGAACTTTATTGCGGATAAATTATTCTCCATCATTTATAACACGATTAAAAGCTGAATTATATTCTTGCATGATCAAATTTTTTATAGGTCACCATCAATTTCGGGCCTGATTTTAAACATCCACCACCAGATGAAGAATTCCAACCGGTAAGCAAAACACTACAGCTTAATATACTCACCTAAAACATTAACCTTGATACCTTAAATGTTTTCTCCCCCTTCAAAAGAGGAAACTATTTGCAAATATTTTTCAGGGAAGACTTTTTAAAAAAACTATTTTGTCTGATCAGCTAGAAATTGGAGAATGTTTGTTTTACCCCTTATAGATGAGCTTTAAAGCTGTGGAATTTGCTGTGGAACAGAGTTTATCAGACCTGTTGTCCCATGTGGATTCACAAGACAGACCCGTTCCAATCCCTGAGAAAATCCTAGTTCCTCCAAAGAGGAAGTGACGTATATTCACCTTCTACCGCTGACAGTTTCAGTATTGCCACGTCACATTCACCAAATGCTTTGAAGTGTTTCCCGACGTCAAAGACAGAGACCAAACTTGAGAGGCGCTGGTGAGGGATTTTACCGCCAGAAAGCAGCCATACGTTGGTCTTGCAATGTGCTCGCCGGAAAAGTCCAGTCACGTATTAAATTATGTCAGCTTTTTTTCGAATCCTTTCAAGGATTTTGTGCATCATTTATTTAACTGGAAAGATGCAGTTACTTTTTTTGTGTTTGGAACAAGATAAGTATTTCGTACGCAGTATAACACTTGTAAAGTATGTCGTATGGTTCTATTGGTGCTGTTTTGAGCATAAACAATACAGAGTTCAAAAGATTTGTGAACAATTGCCATTTACAAATGAGTGAATTTTTATATTCTAATTTCTTTCTCTTCCAATGATCTTTTTTATTGGCTTTTTGAGACGTGCTCTCGTGTTTACTTGGCGTATTATTCAGTTTAGCCAAACCAGCAATCATTTGTACCATAAGATTCAGCATAAAGTAAGCTTTTATACATGTTACAATGCGCATAATTAGGGTCTTTTTTTATCTAATAAAGCACAATTTCTCTGGTGTTAAGTCTTCTTATCGCTGAACATTCCAATTTTGTTCGTTTGTCCTCCGTAATTATCACAGTCGGGTTATTGTGTCGATAAAAAAGTGCTTCAATATGTTGCTTCTCAGAAACGGTTTTTCCTAAAGAGGACACGGTAACGGATTCTGCAATCTGATTGGTTCTGAGCGCGGTCCTGCTTATTCTATCTCTGTCCACTGTGACTGAAGCTTTCGTGAGTTTATGTCCTCTTGTTGACAAAAAAAGGGATTATCTCTGTTTCACGTGTTATCTACAAATAACTCACTATAAACTATGTCAATGTGTTTACAGATAGAATTTGAAATAAATGCCTCCACTGAGTAAGCCCAAATCATGATAGACTCATAACGAGTCTCCAAGTCAGCCAGGTCGTAACAAAATTTTGTCGTTTTCCGGTACTCAATGAAACTGATGGCGGTGGAGTCGCGGAAACGAGAGGTTTGCCCGTGATATTCTCTTACCATTCTATTTATTGGTCCACCGCTCAAAGCACTCGCAAAACAGCAAGCAATACAGGCTCATAAACTAAGGATATATTAGAATGGACTCTTCTTCAGGAATCAAAGTGTCCTGACGGAAAGAAAGGGCACAAGAAGACCGTAGCTTCAGACGAACACCGAGCAGGAATTTAGAACTTTACGGCTGGCCAAAGAAACAGATTTTGAAGATTTGTTTCACTCGTCTTTTTTGAGCACGAAGGCCAATTTACGTTATAAACTCAGTTGATAAAACCGAATTATCTTGCTCTACGGAATGTCACGTGACACCCCCTCCTTTCTTGGGGGGGGGGTGGGGGGAAGGGGGCTTTGTAGTGCCTTGCAAAGGAGACGAAAACGTCTTTTGTCGAGTGGCTGTTGAGATTTCATTGGTTTTGGTTTTACAGCAAACAAGGTTCCTCAGTCACACCACAACTAACATGCTGTTGTTACATACTTGGAGTTTAATCTCTGAACGAATACACCAACTTACATTAGTGACGTTTAAAATAATACGCGAATACTGAGACGATAGCCGATTAATGATTCACCGGCTACAGAAAGTGTTGGTGAATTTTGTCATAAAATATCAAACAGTATGTTGAAAAATATATACACCAAAGTGATTAGCCTGGAAAAACATTTCGTTAAAGATACACCATATAAATTGTGGCAGTTTGCTACATCGTTAAAACCCGAGGCCATTTTTACTAAAGCTTTTCATATCCCTTTACACAAGCCATGGTTACATGGATTATAAAATCTGTCTACACTCGTTTAGAAACAGTTCACTACATAACGGAACAGTCCGAGTCCTGTCTGTCGAGGAACGAGAATTCGTATGAATGATTAATCATCTGATTCATGGACTACCTTTGTTGGTAAACACTAAAAATAGCTAAAAGCTAAAAATTAAAAACTCTGCCTTTTACTAGCTTGATAAGTGCCAAGAACTACCTGGTAATCACTTCCAATTCAACGGTAACCAACCAAACATAGTGAAACGAGGGCCACTTACAAGGAACGAACACTGCCTCTGATTGGAAGTAATTGAAGAATTTCGTCTGTCTCTGATTACTTCCAATGAACTGAGCAACTATTTTCATCGCTATGCAAAAAGAAAAACTCCCTAAGTTTTCTAGTTTTCTATCAGAAGTACATTTACCAAATTTGCTTCCTTTAATCTAAGAATAATTTTTACTGTGTATGAAAGTGCCCGTCGATTATTTTGGCACTGAATTCACTCAAGTAATAGTGTTGAAGGGTAAAAACTGTGCAACTATTCGACACTTCAAGGTTCAAAATGCAAACAAAGAGCTCCTTCACTGCTTGAGGAAAGCGTTGACCTTTCAAAATTTTCTCAGCTTTGAATGATGGAGATCGTTTCTTGACAAACGCGGAAAAGTATAGTACAGCTGGACTAGCTGACCAAACAAATAACTGCCTTTGACAACGCTTGAAGGAAGCAAATTTAAAGCATCATGTGGTTTAAAAGCCGCTTAATAACTTTGGCACATCTCACATTTTTCGAAATTTCGTATTTCCCTTGACACGCAACTTAAGGAGTTAAGAGCGATTTGCGGCATTAAAGGAATTTCTGTGACTTAAAAAATTATCATCGCTCTGAGAAAAATTTTCGATGAAAGGTTCAAGTTTGCCCAAAGTAAAGCTAACTTCTAATTTCCTCCACCACTTTGCTTTTTTATGCAAGGTGATTTAATTTGCTTACCTTCATTACTTCATTGAATAATCAAAAACATTTCACATTACACTCTCCTTCATTGTAACACATACAATTCAGCTTAAATGATTAACAAAGAACAAACCACGAACTTGTACAGGGTTATTATGGATAACAAACTAACCGATAAAACAAGGTGCGTATAGAAAATAACAGTAAAAAAAAGAGAAAAAAATGTTGCCTAAGGGTGTGTCTTGGACCAAATTCTAAGCTGCAAAGTTACAACCGATTCACGAGTGAAAGAATGAAAATGTTTTCAGGATAGTCTAGATGCTCTAGTTTTCTGAAATATATGACTTTGATTGTCGTTACCCTCATAAGGACTGCTTGTTACCAGTCAAGTTACTACCATTATGTCAAAAGATGAAAGGATGCTTATGAACTTAATTTACTTTTAACGCTCTACAAAAACAACCTTTTTTATCTTCAGACTTTCGCTCTACTTACAACAAAGGGACATGGTGAAAATCATCAACCAACTGGAGAGCTGAATAAGATACATTTGTGTGTTCACAAGCGGTCTATAACATTGTTCCTTCATCAGTTTTCAGTAAATTCGAATTCAGGACTAGGAGCTTGGAAGGTATCTGATCCTACTGCAGTGTGCCAGTTGGTGTAAATCAATAACACAGGTACTTTTTAGTTTTAGCTTCGGATTACTGTGGTCATGCTACTCCGCAGTGTTTGTTTTCCTGCGAGGGGGAGTCCAAGAAGGTATTTATTCCACTGTCCTCTTAAAGCTTTCACTTAAAGCCTACCAGATAATTAACGGCCTCCTAGTCTTGCCCCAGTTGTTTTCCCTTGGCTAAAGTTCAACTGCATTTGTGATTTATTTTGCTTTGCCTGCCAACAAAGGCAAACCAACAAATTCGAAGCTGTAAACTTTTCAGCTCTGAAATCTCACTACTTGTCACAAAATTACTGTTCTCGTATTTTAGAACAACTGGTTTTTCGATCTCCTCCACGAGGCCCCTTTCAAGTATACAAACAGAAATCACTTTGTGTCACCATTCTTCACTGTTTGGGATTTCTCGTTCGAGAAACATTTCATGACACGATAATCAACAAACATTGCGTCTCAAACCACCTGGACTAAAGACCAGAATCTCTATTTGGAGGGTACACGGGAAGAGAAGCCCTTCCAAGGTACATGTTGGGTGTCAGCTGCGAGTTGTAGAATGCTCCAGGGTGCTGTATGTGACTAGGATATTGGTACTGTGGCTGACCAAACATCGGAGGGTACTTATTCGATGGAAAATATAGCCCACTGTATTGAGGCATGGGTTGTTCAGATAATTGTGATGGAGGAATGGTACTTTTATCCAAAGGAGGCTGGCTTGGCGCAGTTAGACTCTCCACTGAAAATGACTTGGACCCTGGAATGGAAACGGAAGATGATGTTGCATATGGACTGTGCGGATTGTGTGAGGTTTGACCGACTGGTCTCAAAAAAGGGCTCTTGTTAGGAGGTGCACTGCTATAGTGAGAGCCAGCGGTAGGCGCATGCTCGGTGGGCGAGTGCAGAGGGCTATGGTGATTACCAGGTGCACCGAATGCAGGTGACTTGTTTTCTTCAAGCCTACGACCATCCAAAGGTGAATGAGACTGATTATAATTGCCCATAACAGATGTGTAAGGATTCTGCATTCCGTGCGGCAGAGTCTTTGGAGAAAGTTCAATAAATCCTGGCCGAGTTTGAGAATTAATCGGCCTGTCGTCACCTTGCACCACTTTTTGATGCTGCTGTGGCTGAACAGGGTAACTGGCCATTCCTGGACCACTCATGCTACTCTGAGGATGAGACGGAGAGAATGGTGGCTTGCTAGGTTCGTTGGGTGATGGGCCGGGAAATCTCGGAGTCTGGGGTGTTAATGGAGTCTGAGGAGTGTGCGGAGACCCTGTACTTGTTGGAGAAGGCACGGGACTGTTCTTTGGATGCCTGGAGTCTGGTACTCTCCCTCCTGGGTAAGGAGGAGGAGGAGACCGTACTCCCGCTCCCAAAGGATCTGACGAAGGAGAATTCGAGTTTCCTTGCGTTTGGATTCCCCCGAGATGCCTTGGTCTCTGAAAGTATCCCTGCTGTTGCGAACTTTGCTGCTGACTAAAAGCTGGAAAGTGGGATTGTTGCACTTGCCCACGCATTTCCTGAGGCCGCCTTTCCATAAAAGAACCCTGATGTTGAGGCGCTCCACTTCGCGGATAGCCACTGTAAGGAGATTGTTCCCCTCCTAGCGCTCCTTGCTGATTAAAACCACTTCTAGAGTACATTCCATTCATCCCTGTCACTGTGCTCTGATTGCTACTACTTTGCGAATTTCCAAACAGCAACTGATGAATGTCCTCCATAGCTTGTGTCTGGGTCTGTAGTCTTTGTCTATCCTTGTAGAGGGGCTGCTGTGACTGCTGCTGCATATGTTCCCACTGTGATGCTCCGTAACCTGGCCGCGCGTTCACTTGAGAGCCCGGAATTCCTGAGTAACCTGACATGACGGGGCCACCAGAGCCCCTCATGGGGAACTGCTGGGGATAAAATGACTTTTGTTTGCCAAACATGTTCATTGAGTTCGTTTGTTCCAGTTTAAGAAACGGCGAGCTTGATGGTTGCGCTCTGTGATAAGCAGTGATATTTTCCACTCGACCCATCTGCACGGCCTCTGCTGCTCTGTTCGCGAGACTTGTAGAAAACACGTAAATCCTATTGGGTGGTTCGGGAATTTCCACTGGCCTTAGAACTTTTTGCTTTCTGCGACGCCTGGGTCCCTCTGACCCATCGGAATCTATGGATTGACAAAGGCAGAAAACCCTATAGTATTTCCAAACAGCTAAGTCACGCTAAAACCTGCCTTTCAGACGCCATCAATCTCTCACTTATCATGCCTTCGTCGCTCAGGGGCTCTTTGTGTCCTAAGTTTTACGACACTCTAAAATTCGTAATGAACCAAATATTTAGAAGTGGCGTCAGAGTTTTTGTATATAACCAGGAATAGAGCCTTGTAAGCCTTTCTTTCTCACTTTGACAAGCAAGCAGATGAACAGGTAGAATTAAAACACAATACAACTGGTAAATAAAAGGGTTTGTCGAATCGACATTGCACGTCTTGATTAGAAAACGTAGCGACGTTTTCCTAG